ACACTCCCCCCCCCCTGCCTGAAACGCCTCCATTGGACTCCTTTATTTACTTCCGGAACATAGTGACATCACTATGTAACACTCACACTTCTATTGGCTAGCGCTCCAACACATTGCACGTGCCAATGAGAACATCTCTAAGAGGTTGACCAGCCACAACAGAGTCAGCCAGCTAACCAATCAGAGCAGACTGCACTCTGGTTTCAGACAGAGGGTGAAAAGAGGTGCTGCAGCACAGGCAGTATGAGAAAAATAAAGAGCTTTTTGAACATTAAAGCGTGTCACAGTAGAGGCACAAAATACAATTATAAAAACTCAAAGCTTAGCATAATACGGCTTCTGAAGACATTGAAAACACCTTGGATGGAGAAGAACGGGATGTGCTTACCTCTTGCGGATAACTTTTTGGTGTTGATTATTTTGGCGGCATACTCCTGTCCTGTACACAGCTTAACACACCTGCGCACCACTGAAAAGGCTCCCCTGTAAATACACAGAAAAAAACAATTTACTAATCTCTGTTAATTTCTGTATGTTAAGAATATATGTGATATCTCCCTAATTGCATTATTCATGGTCTTTTGATACAAGGGCAACACCAGGATGCCTGCAAGTTCTTGACGAATGACACAGATAGCTCAACTTAATGAATCTTCATAAGATTTTGCTGAACATTTTTTTCATGGCTGGCATTTTTTTTCAGCCAAATGTAGAAGAGACCTGATGCCACTCGCTCCAGTTAACTGCGGCTAGCTCCATTAAAAGACTGCTGCCAGGATTTGTCTTCCTAATAAGTTCCCATGAGGCTCCCCATACACAGTAAGCATAACTTAAATAACATGCACACATGCGGCGTGTGAGAGACGGGGCTAAAATGGGCTCTTAAACACAATCCCTGCATTACTGAATAGGTATTTTACCTTGAAGAGCCTGTCACGAAGCACACATGTTGCACCAGTCCCACAACCAAAGCATGATGACTTACAGCTACCTCATGTAAACTTTAGTATGTGATTCCGTGATCTAATTGTGCATCTGCTGCCGTGTGAAGAAACTACACTTCAAAGGTTTGAAGGAAATTGTGACTGGAAACACTATGTGGATGGATTTGGCCATAAGAAGGTCATAAGCCTCAACAGAAAAATATCTCCCTTTAAAAACCAAGGAGCCGGCGACAGAGAGGCTTCACAGCCTGACCTGTTAAGTTAGATCTGCCCAGTCTTGCTACCACAGTTTACAGTGAAAAGGTGGACTGGTGCCACTGGTCTGCCTCCACACTGAGGCAGTTAAAGACAACCAAAAAGGTCAGGGTCAAAGGTGAACTCTGCGAGACCAGCTGACCTGAGACCTTAATAAGCAGACAGTGGGGGAAATGTCTATGGGGAGACACAAAACCCAGCAGACTTCACAGGGAATTTCAATACGGTTTAGGCGCCTGATAAAAACAACTGAATTCAAAATGCTACATCTCACGGTAAGGATTGTCTGGGTAGTTTAGTTCCAGCAGATCAACACGCTTACAGAGAGCTTTTCTACAGTAACCATATGTAGCAAAACAGGACCTAAAGGCAAGAAACTCTCTGAAACACGGTTGTGTATAAAGCACTGCATGACCGACACCAGCAACACACACAACCAACCAAATAACTGACACCAAACTCCACAGCTGTGCCTGGAAAGTTCCCACTGTGAGGTAAGTGATCAGGGCTAAATATGCTAACACACATACACAGTTAAATAGGGCAACACGTCATGATTCATTGCTTTTAGAAAAGTCTGGTTTGACACCCAGAAGAGTAGACTTGGAGTGTATTGTAACGGGATTACTCCGAGCTTCTGGTGTACAGTTACAGTTTCACATGTTGCCTGTGGTATTGAGGACTGTGGATTAGGGTTTGTAAAGCTACACTCAGAAGCTTCAAGTGTAACCGAGGCAAAAAAGAATACCAAAATCAGAGAAAAGTTATGAGTTTTTGAATAACTTGTTTGAGCGTCTTTATTTCGTAATGAATAACTATGACATAAATCCACATTCAAGCTTGTAACTGTTTGTTTTATTGTGAAAATATTCCAGAATGCATGGTTTAAACAGGATATTTTGAAATATATTTTATTTATAATTCATTCAAATGTTTTGTCATTTTATATGCCTGCATATGTAGAGTATAAGAATGTGTTTGATTATTAACTTTATAAGACCTTGTGTCAAAACATTGAAGTAGAACCATACCAGTGTTAAAGGGCCCATGTCATGGCCGATTCTACTGATCATAATTCCATTGTTGAGGTATACTAAAATAGATATATACTGTGCAATTTTCCAAACTCACGTTGGTTTCTCATACAGCATCTCTGTAAAGTATGTGTATTCACCGGTATTCACTCACTGTTCTAAACGGCTTGTTGGAGCTCCTGCCCCCGCCTCCTTGTGAGCCCAGTCCGATTGGTCAGCTCGGCCACTCTGTTCTGATTAGTCAACCACCAGAGAGGCTCCGCCCATGTCTAACACAGTGCTTTTTTTGGCTCTGAGCGGAACATCAGTTTTACAATGGCGTCGGTACAGCTGTATATGTTTGAACCGGAGTCCGATCCTAAAAGTGAGACAGACCAAGGTGATAGACCTGATCCACCGTCCCAAACTAGACTAGGGCAGACGTTTTCACAGAGGAAAGTTTTTATTTAGTATCGCTCTTACATTTCAGATGTAAGTTACAACATTATGTAGCCAGCTAGCTGAAAACACCAACAGTAGCAAACAACATTATATTCCAAGATATACACCATACATATTTGTCAAGTCAATAGACTATTATATGCCCTTTTATTTCTTCCTTAGTAATTGAATGTTTATTTTGTAAACCTCGCCATAGTTGGTTTAATTGCTAAACGTGTTATTTTACAAATATCTTACCTTCCTATAGGTAACTCGAATGAACCAAGTCCCAGCACCTATTATGTGCATGGTACACCACCCAGGACTAGAGCCAAACTGTCTCAACCCATACACCCTGCAGAACCTCCATAACATTTACAGATTTGATTATGGACCTTTGAGGCATAGAACGGGAGAAGAGTAAGTTATTCTTACCTGTAATAAACTAACACTGTTTTTTTTGAAAAATCAAATCATGGTTTGCTATATATGAATGATATGTTATAGGAGCAAATAATTCCGGTAAGAAAGGCTACTAAGTATTTCCATCAAACTTTATTTTTAGAAATGTACAAAATGAACATGCGTAAATATACATATATACACGGTATATTATCCATTCCTCCCCTTATAGGCATTTTCTGCATCTTGTCTATCGCAGCTTTGTAAGCTGGTGCTGGGGCTTTTTAGGACGAGGCATCAGAGTGGTCATCCCGTCATGTGTTGTCCGCCGGATACGCCAGGAGTTCCTGACGAAATCAAATGCAAATCACAAAATATTAGAGAAACTTAGTTGTTTTAGGTTCGTTAGATTGCCAGCTAGATTAATATGCTAACCTACGTTTGCTAGTTGTTCAGTGTAATATGCCAACCTTCTATGAACAACAGCTAGTGGTTCATATTAGGCTAGCAAGAACATGTTTACAATTGCAATTTTATACGGGTAGTCTGCTATCTTCGGTCATTCATTGGAGCTGGCATAAAAACAATGTTTTCCCTAGCAAACTCATGTCTAGCTCTTGGCAGCCTTCTTTTTTAGCTCGGTAGCATACACGCTAGGAATGCCAAATATAATGTAATTAAGTTTTGCGACTGACCGTACGGTAAATCACCTGGAGTATTTTGTGTGTGAATGCAGACAATCTACTGCTATGAGATACATGTAAGGCCATCTGCTGACATTGGAGTTGATATATGGAAACGCTAGCAACTTACACTGAACAAAAATATAAACGCAACACTTTTGTTTTAGCTCCCATTTTTCATGAGATGAACTCAAAGATCTAAAACATTTTCTACATACACAAAATAACCATTTCTCTCAAATATTGTTCACAAATCTGAAAACATCTGTGATAGTGAGCACTTCTCCTTTTCCGAGATAATCTATCCCACCTCACAGGTGTGGCATATCAAGATGCTGATTAGACAGCATGATTATTGCACAGGTGTGCCTTAGGCTGGCCACAATAAAAGGCCACTCTGAAACATGCAGCATGTTTCAGAGTGGCCTTTTATTGTGGCCAGCCTAAGGCACACCTGTGCAATAATCATGCTGTCTAATCAGCATCTTGATATGCCACACCTGTGAGGNGTAAACATGACACAAGGTGGCGCCATATCCATGTCAGTGAATGTACTACTTTGAATTTACTCTCTGTATGTGTTAAGTAAATAAAGTTGTCTCGCCTTGAATGAAATTCACGCAACTCTTTACCAATGACTGAGCCTCCGTACAGTGAGTGATGGCGAAGACCGGAAGTACTCGGGCTCACACCCAGCCGCCGGAAGTTGATAGACGCCATCTTGTGCAACTAGCCTAATGTGCCCTCTAGTGGTTATGTTCCAAACAAAAACATATTTACTGATCAGTCCACCTGCTACCAATTAAAGAAAAAAGGATTACAAACATGTACTGCCAATGGAATCACACTCTATGGGTTTACACTGAACATAAAACAAGCATTTGCCCCAGGGAGCTTTTCATGGTGTGGGCCTATTGTTGTAATAATGTAGTGTTTTTAAAAAAAAAAACGTATCAGCAAAAAGGCTTTATATAAAATATAAATGTCACCACCAGGACTTCAAGTCATACATCAGCACATATATATATATATTTACTCTTGACTTATACTGCAAAATGTATAATCCACATTCTGCTGAATTTATGTGTTTCTATAATATCATGATTCATGTCCTCACTCTATGCGCCAAGCGGTTATTTTACACAACTACGACACCCACAATTCATAGCATTTCCGGGTAAAAGCGGATATGCTCTCGGATTGGCTAAAACACCTTTCAAAAACAGTTCGGGGAGTAGTTTCCATGATAGCTGAGGATTTGAATCTTAAAACTGATCTTAGACACAACATACCTTTGCTTCGTTGTGAACACATGTCCTTTTTATCTGCTGTAAAGGAAAGTGTTGTTTCAAAACTCTCCCCTAGAGGTAAGTCTCAGTTTAACGTTATTCGATCCCAAACTAACGTTAGTAGAACATGTTGTGATGAACGTTGACGCTAACGTTAGTTAAACTAAGCTAATCGCGTTATCGAAATTCAAAATCAACAAAAGTGTATTTAATCTGAATTAACTTGTTTATGCAGCTGTCGACATGAAGTGCTTGAAAGTGGAAGAATATATCAAGCAGACTGCTTCTGTGAAAGAGACGGATGTTTTACGTCAAGAACTACAGGTTAGCAAACAACTACACCTACCAAATACTCCTAGCGACGAAACAAGTATTTATTTCACTAACGTGTTTTAAGCACTTGCATTTAAACAACACGACCGCCTGTTTAAAAGGTTAAATTCGGCCAATATCCTTTGATATGTTTAAAATGAGCATGCGTGGTGCCACCTTGGTATGATAACGTACACAACTCCTTTGAAAGAGACTCTAAACCTGTTGTTATTGATCTATTTTCTCCGCAGAAGTATGTGAAGAGTCAACCCGGCCTCCAGGGTCGCACAATATGTGACAGGATCATCAGAGCCTGCAACAATCAACTCGGAGTTGGATCTCCAATTTCTGACCATGTCAGTGTGTTGGTCCAGCTGGTGGAGCTTTCTCTTCACGGCTATGATGTTTCTGAAGCACTTGTTGCTCAGAGCAGTCCGCTGTACATGGAGAAGATCATTTTCCATATTGTCAAAAAGCTAAGCTCCCTTGAAGCTCACAATCAATGTAGCCATGTCGCTGGGTTGCTTTACGGCAGGCTTTCTGTAGCTCAACAGGTATGTGTAATTGATATTCTTTGACAGAAAACAAATTGTAAACTATTTAAATAATTTCTTTGCTTTATTTTATAATTTTCTAACATTTTATTGGCCAAACGTTTGAAACGAAAAAAATATCAGCAGATTAGGATTCAAGGTAGGGCTGCACGATATTGGAAAAAACTTACATTGCGATTTTTGTCCCCCCTGCGATATATATTGCGGTATGAAAACATACAGGAATTGAAGAAAATACCGTTTTTTTCCCGCAAACCATTCTTTCTTGAACTGTAATGCTATACAATTGTTATTTTTGTAACTATATTTAACCGGATGAAGGATTTTAGTCACGGACGTCTGGATCTTAAGTTATCAGAGCAACAAGCTGAGCTTGCTCGGTTAGCAGCGCTAACCTGTGACGTCACAGAAGTGTTCAAATCTGGATCAGTCTGTATCAGATCTGTTGAAGCCCCTTTTTAAGAGATTTGGGTATGGAGGAAAATAGAGAGGGTTTTGTTTTCTGATACTTGGTGAGTTCCCTGGAACACCAGGGACACATATTCATGTATAAAAGACGTACAAAAGTGCATTTTGCATGATAGGTCACCTTTTAATAGAGGCGAAGTCCCTCCCTTTCCGGGGGACCTCCATGGGACCTTATTTCGGAAAAATTATGTATTGAAGTCAATGGAGAGAGAAAGATTATCTATCGATCCCTTTTGAATTGGGCCACAAATTACACATAGATGATTGTCAATTTAAAAGTTAAGTGAAGTAACACTTTTTTTTGTGTGAAACGCTCAATGGTCTAGGGCTGCTCAATTAATCGTATTTTAATCGCGATTACGATTATGGCTTGTAACGATTACGAAAACAACGTAATCAAAATAAACCGATTACTTTTTTTGGGGGGTTTTTCAGTTGAATTATACTTAAAGTTCAGGGTAATCAACTGTTAAAACATACTGTTCACATTTTTTTCTCTCCAATAAATGGATGTTTTCAAAGTCAATGAATAATCACATTTAATAATCGCAATTACAATTATTGACCCAAATAATCGAGATTATGATTTTTGCCATAATCGAGCAGCCCTACTCTGGTCTCACACTCGTCACCAACACCAAGAGGGCACATTTCACAGAATGAGGCAAAAAGTATTAAAAGAGGAGACTACAAGTCTGGGCATGTTGAGAGCTGTATATACACAATAGGGGAGTTAGTCGGTTCCGTAAGAGCCAGCATGCGGGACCGGCTTTACAAGGTGTCGGTGAGTAACACGAGTGTACTGTGTAACGTTAATGACATCACTTACGCGACTCTGGGATTTGTAGTCTTTCTAGTTGCGTATTTTTCATAGTCTTATATTTCAACAGTTTTATGTTTTATTTTTTAAGATTGACAAACATCATATATGTAATTCGTGGCACAATTCAAACGAGATCGAAAGATACGTTTTCTCTCTCCATTGACTTCAATTCATAATGTTTCCGAAATAAGGTCACATGGACCGGAAGTAGATGGGCGTGACTTCGCCAAAAAAAATTTTTTTAATCGTCAAGTGATGTGAATATCGCGGTTATCGTCACGACACGATATATCGTGCAGCCCTAATTCAAGAGTTTTATTATCATATGCACAGTAGCTACAGTGTAGTTATGGCAATGGAAATCTTAGGTGCAACATATTATATATAGGACACAAGACAATAAATGAAAGAATAAAATAGTGCAGGTTATGTAGCTAAACCAGTCCACAAGTAGTGCAGATGAAGTTAACTATATACATGTCAGAAAATAAATAAATACAATAAGCTAAATGATGCAGAGAATGTTGAACATGACCAAGATTCATTTGTAATGGAAGTTGTTAGTTTCAGCACTATTCCAAATCTTCACTTCATGATTTAGTTTTCAGCATCAGAACTAACAAGGTTATTGTTTTATGCTCCATAGGCTGAGGACTACTTTGCTCTTGTGCGAAGCTGCTTTTCGGTGCTCTGGAATGGATTATCTGCAACCAAAGACATCAAAATCCTAAATTCACATGACAAACTTCACTGCCAGATGCAAGCTCTGAGCTTCCTCTTGCTGTTGGACACAGACAGTGCAACCCCATCTATCTCCAAAGCCCCCATATACACAGAGGACGCCATCACGGAATTTGAGAGTAGCTTTGAAACGGTAACCAAGGACAATGCTTATTTTCTCCTTCAGAAAATGCAGACACTTTTCAACAGATGTTGGACTGGCAGCGATGGCGCTGGGTCCAAGCAGTTGACTGTGGCATCAAGTATATATACGCTCTCAGAAATGGCACTGATTATAGTGAAGATGCTTTGTAAGTTTGCCCACTATGATCTGGCCTCCACCTTTTTGAGTGAAATTGAGAGCAAGCTCAAAGACTTGGCTGACTGTCAGTGTACAGCTGTGGTGCTCGGCAAGTGGGCGGTAAAGATTCATTCCACAATGAAGGCCGGCGTTGAGAGTGGCCCGGCTCTGACGGAGTGTGCGAGGGCCCTGAGGTCTCTATCAGCTGACCTGGGGGACAGAGAAGCTCACGCAGTCCTAGAAGCATGTGGACTCGTGTTATGGGCTGTCGAAAGTGACCACAGCAACGGATTGAGCGGACCTGTGCTCCTGGCTTTCTTTTCTTTTCTTGAGGAGCACCAAGAACAGATAATAAAGGTTCTAAAGAAGGTAAGTGTAATTTCTGTGCTTGAAAATAATCACATTTGTGCTGTGCTTAATTGCTTAAAGAGGTGGTCAATGTATTTTCAACAAATAACCTTTTGCCTGTTTGATTTTCAGAGTTCGACATGCCAGGCTGAGCTCAGCAGACTGCAGCAGGCTCTCTGCATCAATATCTACCAAGGCTTTGGATTTGCCTATGAGAGCATGGTGGCATTACAGGTGAGGTTGCTTCTTTTGCATCATTTTTTCATATTTTATTTTTGTATTTTATTATGATGATAGTATCAATACTGAAGAGTCACCCAGATGCCACTACTCCTGCTGTTGTGATTGTACTCTGCTACAAGTTGACTGATTTTGATTTGTTGTTCTCAGCTGGAGAACATTGAAACCTTGGACAGAGTGCTGCTGTACTGCCAGGCCACAGCTGGACAGATGATGACTGAACTACGTAAACTGTCCAGTGAAAGTCTTCTCATCAAATCAGGTGATTACATTCTCAATTACTAATGTTTTAGCGGTTCAGAAATGTAGGGCTGCAACTTATGATTTTTTTTGTTCGGCTCATTTGCTGATCGTTTGGTCTACCAAATGTCAGACAATAGGCGCATTCACACCGCAGTACTTTTCCCACTTTAGTTCCGATATAGTTCCGAAATGTCGCGTTCACACCAAAAAGAGCCGGAACTAAAATTAGTTCATGAGAACCTTTTTACCCCCTTTTACCCCTGCTAGAGAGCAGGGACTTTTGTGGGAGATAAAGGTTCCTATGTCTGATTGGCTGGGCGGAATGCAAACCACGCCCCGTAAAACTCAAAAAAAGTTTTGTGAAGCCACCATTTTATTATCCTTGCATTAGCATTATTAGCATTAGCCCAGCGCAGAAACGCAGAGAGACTAACTTATGGCAACACAAAAGAAAACATGGGAGCGGTGGAGATGAGGTGTCGGCGTTCTGGCGATTTACTGAAGCCAGTCCCCAACTCCGAGGACTTCCGGCCGGGGACTTCGGGTGACAGTATTCGCCGTGAAGTTGTTGTCGGCCTGCCAGTAAACCCAAAGCAGAAGAAGAAGAAGTGACGTCAGCGGCTTCATTTGCCTAATCCTCCCCCAGGGATTTATTCCAGTGTGAACGCGATCTGTATTTAGTTCATGAGAACTAAAGAGTTCTCATGAACTCAATTCTGATGAACCTTTGTGGGAAAAGTACTGCGGTGTGAAAGCGCCTTTTTAGTGACATTTCTATCTCAAGGTTCGAGCTGATGTCCTAAAATGTCTTGTTTTGTCAATTTAAAAACCCAACGATTTTTACTTTACCTCTATAATTAAGAGACTGAAAACAGCATTTTCTCCTATTGTTGAAATATTATTTATTGATAGAGTAAAAGTTGTTGTTTTTCATCCTGCCAATTGTTGCAGCTCTGCTTACTTACATTGCAAAATACAGATGTATAATATTGTATGACATTTAGTTAATTTTATGATTACCATGTGTCTTGCAGTGATTTCTGTGAGCAACTTAGCTTGTGGATTTTACAACCGGCGTCTCTATGACCAGGCCTTCTCTCTGGTTGAAATCCTCTGTCGGGAACTAAGCAAGAATTGCCCCACCTCGCTCTGTGTCGATAGGGTAAGTTTTATCATATACATTGTCTTAAGAATGACAGACTATACAAATTACATCATGCTTGGTTGTCAATATACAGATTACCTACGATGATGTATCAGTTTGAAGTAGTTATATTTGCTCAATGGTTTCAAGTTTTCTAGGATCCACATCTCAGGATCCTCAGGAATATCCACTTTGACAAATGTAAACATTTTTAAATGTTTTATTCTGTATTCGTTTCACAAAGCCGGATCATATTTAAAAATAACATCTTTACATTTATGGCAGACTGAGATATTGTTGTTGAATGTGTGTATCTCAATAGGTGTACTTTATGTTCTTTGCAAGATATTTGATACAATACTCTGTGAAATTATGTGGAGATTTATAACTTTTGAGCTTGCTCCAGAAGTTTGTGCACATCAGCATCATCATATGGACAATTTGTATCTGACTCCCATTTGTGTTAAGTAATAATGTTTTCACATTCAAGACAAATGTCATATTTAACATGGCTTTTCACTCCTCAGTTGAGCCGCCCGTTCATGTTGGCTGTGCAGACGTCTCGGCGTGCCGGACATCTGGAGCGGGCGCTGGACTGGGTCATCCTGTGGCTGAAGGCTCTGGGGGACAACATCACTTCTCACATGGCTGAACCTGTCTCTCTGTGGGTGAAAACAAAGACTGACGCTGCCCGTAACTCTGAGGAGGACATCCGTCTCAGGTACACACAAGTTATAATGCAAAGACTCTTTCTGACGTTTGTGACAACATTTAAGCTCTCAGAGAATGTAGATCATTGCATATTAATGTAAAGGCAACATGTCCCATCCTGAAACAGGACATTACATGATGGATTTGGACCCGACGTCCCTGATGAGAGAGTAATGCTCTGCCTATTGGAGGAAGAGCTGCGTGCCTATAAGGATGTGGCAGGAGACACGTCTCAGGAGCGTTACAACACACTCTGTGATCTGTTGGACATCTGCCATGAGGACAGCTCACACACACATCTGCGTGCTGTCTATCTCTCTGAAATGGCCCAAGTTGTGTGTTACCAGGATTTCAGTGAACAGACTGACTGGTAGGAGCTTTTATTTAGATCGTTTTCCCTAATGAATGGTGCTCCTTGATGAATACAAATCCAGACTAAATTGTGTGTTCAGGCCAGGGCAAACTATTTCTACTGTTAGTCTTAAACAAGCTGGACCAACAGGTGCATCATCTTTCTGTTCATATACTAATTTTGTTAATTTGTAACTACACAGCACGGCAGTGGATTTCACCCATGAAGCTCTACGGCTACTTGAAGAAGAACCAGAGACTCCAGAGAATGCAGACAGGCTGAAGGATGACAAGGCCCATGCTTTACTCTGGCTCTATATCTGCACTCTGGAGAAAAATCTTCAGGAGGTGAGCTTGTCAGGATATCAATATGCAAGTTATTGTCTGTCATAAAAATTGAGAGTGAAACTGAAATTAAGACTGTTATCATACTGGTTTTTATCTATCTGTGTTTAAGTCTTGATTTGATAAACCGACTAAGCATCTTGTGATTAATTACTGATGTTTGTGTGTTTTTGGTCAGGGCATTGAAAGGGACAAAGAAAAGCGAGAGTCAAGAGAGCAGTCACGATGTTCAGCCATTCCCATAGGAACTAATGATTTAGATTATGAAGACAAGCAGAAAACACAGGAAAGCATTCCGGTCTATGAAGGCCTGCATTTCAACCTGGCTGCAGAGAACAGTAAGAATATGCATGTATTTTTATATCTTACCAGTATAATATGATGACTATCTGCTAAATACAATATTTATTTTTTGTTTTGTTTATCATTAGCTGAAATCTTTTTCATTTTCTTTTAAGAGCTGTGCAAACCTCTGGAAAGAGCCCTGGATGAGTGGTCTGCTCTTCTGCAGAGTAAAGTCCTGCCTTCTGTCAGAAACCCCAAACAGACCTGTGGCTCCCTCGCTGTGACTGCGGCTCTCTTCAGACTCATGGCAAAGGTAACGACACAAAATGTGGTCACAAAGATTTAGTCTCAGTTTGTTAATGAAAAGTCAAACTAAAATGGACATAATTCCCCTAAGGTTTTCCATACAAGGCGGTACAACCACACAAAATATTTTCATTATCAATTGTGATTGATTTCTAGATTTAATGGTTTAGTCGTCAATTAAATGTCAGAAAATAGTATAAAAAAAATCCTAGCAATTACTAAAATGCCAAAATGTTGTCCTTAAATGTCTTGTTTTGTTTAGCCCAAACAGCTTTAAGAGAAAACAGGGTTCTCCATATTTGAAAGGCATACATTGCAGCATTCTTTTGCAATTTATTTCATGAAAAGTGTGTTTCTGATAGTGGATTCAACCATTATCAGAAAAAGTGATTTATTTTACTGTAAAAAGAGGTATTTTAGTGTGTTTTCCTTGGTCAGATTGTTAGAAGTGTTGCTCGCTTATTAGAGCAGCGGTATTAATGACAATCTCATTATTCTCTTTTATAGCCTCTGAAGGCTCTGGAAGCTTACCAACTTGCGATTGGACTTTCACGTGAACTCGCTGACGCCCCTGGATGTGCCACCTCCCTCTGTCAGTCAGCCAGCATCCTTCTGGATATGGGCTCCCCTGATCTGGCTTTGGTAATGCAGCTTTATAATTATTCACACTGTAGTAACATATTTTATTTGTTGTGCTGCATCTCACTTTGTTTATTGTACTATTTTGAAGGCCCAACTAGAGCAAGCAGAGAAGTTTCTTACCTCTGTGCCCTCCGATGATGGACCTTCTTATCTGTCTATGACGGCAGTTCTGCTGAAAGCTCAGTACTGCTACAGCACAGGACAGGTAGGTCACGCACTAGCAGTATTTATTTTAATATATGATTGCTTTTTGGATGGTTTAGTTCAGTCTATCAAATTGCCCCTCTCCTGTTTGGGCATATATCAGGTGGATCAGGGGGTAGCATATCTGTGTGAGGTGCTGAAAGAAATGAACACGCAGAGGCAGTCAAAGAGCTTGTACCTGCTGCGGGCTCGCACGCTCCAGACCTGCAGCTCCTATCTGAGTTTGGACTCAGATGCACTGCCACAAGCCCAGAGAAACCTTATCACCCAGCACGGTAAGCTAAGGCATTTACTTCATTCAACTAAATGGTTTAAAGTTTGCATTTTGCAATGTAAAGGAGGGGATTGCAGCTTTCATTAAGTAAGGACTTGTGATTATTTCTCAGGAACAAGAGGCCTGGACACTGCCCTGTATGAGAGCCTGAAGCTTCTGTGCAGCCTGCTGGTCGCTTTAGTGGGGAAGGGGCTATACGGGACTAACAACAACAGCAGCAGCTGCTCAGACACACGCTTCATCGACCAAGGTACGTTTGTCCCACACATGGACTGACAATACATGCTGCTAATACAACAATAATGTCTCTTGTAGGGTTTTCCTGCAATGTTGGTTGTACAAAGCCCTTTTCTATGTCTTTTGTTCTCTGCCATTGTTTAATTCATTGTGTGTATTAGTTTGTATTATTCAAATATGTAGTGTCTCTTAATGCTGTTCTTTTAACAGTTTTGAGAGCCAAGTCTAAGAGATGTCCACAAGGTTTCCATTGTACATGTACTGTCGGTCTGCTAAAAGGATAATACAATCTTTCTATCTGATCCCCTCGCCCTGTGCAGGAGATAACTTGGTGCTGAAATGGCAGCTGCTCTCAGAGCTGCTGAGTTGCTCTATGAAGATGGTGGCTGTGAGGAGCAGCTGTGGAGCCATCAATGACGCCAGGCTCCAGTGTCTAGAAGCTTTGAAACTGGCCACCAAGCTGCAAGCACTCAGCCAGTACGTACATGTGCATGATGGTTGGTTAACTCCAAATGGTAAAGCAGGATCCAAAGGATGGATGGGGCCCTGATATTATTAGCTCAAACCGGCTATTCTTAAATATTTAGTTTCCTGTAGTGCACAATGCTAAATCTTCTTTGGGCTGTTAAGCTTGATGTAGTGTTAAAGCATATTCATTAGACCTGAAAATGCACCAGTGCTCGGTTGAGCATGTAAAATACAATTTATACAGCATTGTGCTCTTGCGCTTTATTGATTTAAAATTCCTAAATGTTATACTTTATCCGATACCTCCTCCTGTACAGTCTGATGCAATTAAATAGAACGGCCCAGTAATACATCTTAATTAAACCAGCTTATTATAGATTTGTTTTCATAGAGGTGGTGATTTAACTCTAATGAGGTGTAGTGCTGTGGCTGAACTGCTTTATTATGTTAATGGTGTTTTCCATGTATTGCAGGGCTCTTAAGTGCTGTATTGTTCATGTGTACCTTTTTTTATTTTATTTAACATTGTGACTGTATTAATTAGTTCCATTAGTGCATGCTTAACAATGTTTTGTAGTTATAATAGGTCCAGGACACTGCACAATGAATATAAAACTGAGGAAACAACACCAACTCTTGCTCTTGTGATGGCATTAACTTCTCCTTTTCTTTGTCATTGTTTAAGATGTGCGGAGCTACTGGTGATCAAAGCCGAGTTGGAGCTGATGCTGGGGGAGAAAGATGAAAGTGGAATTGATTTAGACAGAGTCAGAGATCTTCTGGACCTATGTACAGGTATGTTGGAAACAAAGCACCATGTTTTTAGTAAAATTGTAACGTGATTGATCGGACTCAGACATTTGCAAAATAAATAATAATGACTTGTTTTGTGTTCTTTGCCAGCAGCATTAGGAAGCATATCAGTTTCCTTTAACAACTAAATGGACTTCTTTGTATTGGTTTTTCTTCAGATTTCTCTGATCACGTGCAGAAGGCAGAAGTGAAAATCAAACCTAGGAAAGGTCGCCCTGTGAAGAAGTCACAGTTGCCCCTTCCTGCTTTGGAGGATGATCTCAAAGGCATGCTGAGCACCAGGTGGAATAACAGAGAGCCTATAGTGAGGGATCTGAGCAGCTCACCCCCTCTTAAAGTCCAGCCTCGCCGCTGGCTCTCCTCCCTGGCCCATGAACCGGCCTGCCCCTGCCCCTGCTGCTCTGAGCCCTGTCTGGGCCGCGCCACCGCCCGCTGGGCCGCCACTCAGGCCGACCTCATCCTCCAGCTCGATCCCAACGACGCCAAAGTCAGTTTCAAACTTCAATCGGCAACATTAACTCGCTGCAAGAGTGTTGCTGCCAAAGTTGGGGCAAAATTGGCTAAACTCTTTCCTCCCCATGGACCTTCAAAAAGATCCTCTAAACCCTCCCTGATGCATGACGTGGTGGGCCGCGTCTACCTCCACATGGCCCTGTCTGCACTGGAGCCAAGGCACAACAAGGTTTGTGGGATATGGAAAGTACTGGAAGCTGGTTTGGCATTTGTTGATTCCACAACTTCACATGTGCTCGGACCCGTGAGAGCAGGCCTAATGGCAACCAAAGCTATTGTGTCATTGGTTACCTTGGCTGAGAAAAAGGGCTGCACTCCAGAAGAGTTCTTCTCAAATGCTTGGACTTGGAACACATCAAAGGAAGATCTGAAATCAGAAGAGAAAGCAGTGCCTCCCTCATCCTTGCTTAAAAAGCCCAAAGAGTCCATTATAAAAATTCCTGACAAAACAAAGGAGGCCAAGAAGGTGAGGACTGTCCCGCCCAGGATTCAGGGGGCTGGCTCCTCCACCAAAGGAAAGCGGCTGGTTCACATGATGCCAGTAAGGGTGAAGCCTGACCTTGGAGCTTTTGGCTTTAACACAGAGGTACCTACTTTGTTCTGTACTCCTATTCCAAAGGTAAAAGCCCCTCCCACAGAGCAGAAAGCACAGAGGACTGCTCCTAAGATACAGTTCAATGTGTATGAAGAGTTGTCACCAGAACAGAAAAAAGCCCAACCTGTTCCTGGAGCCCCCAGACGCACAAATAAACCCTTTTTCAAGGTAAGCATTTTATTGCTGCATAACGTATAGTTGTTTGTGTTATTATGTGGGGGGAAATGAGAATCAGAATAGCTTTATTCGTCCCACAGAGGAGAAATGTGCATTTGTTACAGCAAGAAAAGAGCCAAAGACAGCTTAATATGAACTAAGAAGCATGCATAATAAAAAAAAATGAATCTTCTTTGCAATATTTCAATACAGCTGGATTTTAGCGATGAGAGTGACACGGAATCCAACACCCAAGCCGAGCCTAAGGGAAAAAAAAAAACAGATGTCCCTAAAAAGCGAGCCACCACAAGAAGAGCTGCGCAGAACAGTAAAACGACTCCAGACCCCCCTCCTGCAGAGAAGGTCCCAGCCAAGAGGCAGACCAAGGGGAGGAAGACCACCGCACTCCCCCAGTCGTTTTCTTCTGAGGATGACGAGACTGTGGTCAGTCACACTGCCACAGCAAGAAGAGGAAGATCCAGAAAGGAGCTTTCCAGGCCAGACCCAGACTCACTGGAGAAGCCCGACAAGATGCGGACCATCGAGGAGGAAACCACTGGACTTCTGGACATCAGCATGGAGCAGCTCAGGGCATCCGACACTGAGACTGAGGACAATCTTAGCAAAGATATTGGTGAGTATTTTATGCAATGGTGAACTTTGTCAGATACGTTTAATACATTTCCTAATTGATACAGACTCCACGTTGAGTGTATGCCATCCTGTACATTAGATTACACTATACAACAACATGTAATGTGATGCAGACCACAACTCTTCTTAACTCTTTCCACACAGATTTCGAAGTGCTGCGGAGGGATACGTATTGTGCGAGAGACCCCCTGTCTGAACTGAAGAGCAGAGGTCATCTGAGAGAAGCTCCACTGACCCACCTCTCTCATTCCGACACCAGGCCAGGTGAGAGGGAAACATGTCACTACAGTCTTTTCTTAAAGCAGTAATTGATCATATACCAGGGTGTCCGCGGGGTCTTAAAAAGTATTAAAAGTTGATAAATCAATTTAGCGAAAATTAAGGCTATTAAAAAGTATTAAACGGCATTTTCCAAGGTATTAAGAAGGTCCATAGCAACGACAACATGAAACACCCTTTAATTTACTGTAACGACATGTCGGGAAACCCCCCATGCATAGCGCGCCGTAAAATTCTGCTTATTATTTTAAGTTTCGTTGCCTTGCTCCGCTCTGTGTGGGGNAGCAGCATTTGGATGCACTTCAACCAAAACCCAGGCAGTGATAAAGCGCACCATTTGTAAAGGCAAACTATCTTTAAAGCAGGGTCAACAAATAATCTACATCGCCACATAAAAACACAGTATCTAATATAAAGAGTTGCGTGAATTTCATTCAAGGCAAGACAACTTTATTTACTTAACACATACAGAGGGTAAATTCAAAGTAGTACATTCACTGACATGGATATGGCGCCACCTTGTGTCATGTTTACAAAGAAGATTATTGACATTAGGTCTGGCAATACAGTCAATCATTATCCTGGTGATTATTTCGCTTATTTTTCCTTCAAAATGCCATAATTCCCATCACTACTTGCTGCCCAGGCTTGCCCATGCTTTTGCTAGCGGTCCGTTCTGGTAGTTGACCAGGAAGCAAGCCACATTGAAGAGCTCCTCAATGCTTCCACACACAGACATTGGTATGGCTTTGTCAAATAGTTTGTTCTCTTTGACTGTTCTGATGCACCTCTCCACATGGACCCTCAGACGTGCAATGGATTGAGTCTGCTGACATCCTCCCTGCTCATTTGGGTTGAGGGTCCATGTGGAGAGGTGCATCAGAACAGTCAAAGAGAACAAACTATNCAGGTCTCCCTTATAAAAGAGATCTATGATCTCAAGGGACCAATCTGAATAAATAAAGGTTTGAAATGAAATGAAACATTAGTGTACCACACAGAGGTTGCGTTAACCGAATATATTCCGTCTATGACGGATTTTTTTTAACAATGACGGAAAAATACTGAAAGCAGTCCGTCATTTTGACGGATTAGAACAAACACAGAACAGCGCCAACATTTCCCCGCAGCAGGGCTGCGGAGTTATGCCGTTATGTCGTTTCCAGACCTAACTTTGCCGTACAAATCATTGAAATGTCTGGGAGTTTTTGCTTTATAAAGCAAATATAAATATATATAAATATTTATAAATTGCTACCCAGGCTTAGGGTCCATGTGGAGAGGTGCATCAGAAGAGTCAAAGAGAACAAACTATTTGACAAAGCCATACCACTGTCTGTGTGTGGAAGCATTGAGGAGCTCTTCAATGTGGCTTGCTTCCTGGTCAACTACCAGAACGGACCGCTGGTAAAAGCATGGGCAAGCCTGGGCAGCAATTAGTGATGGGAATTATGGCTCTTTGAAGGGAAAATAANGGCAGAATACTTCAGTGCAGTCAAGCACCACTTGTGTGTCAGGGAAAGCTGAAAACTCTGGTGGAAGGTGAGCTTTGACAACTTCGCGTGGGATCCACAGATGTTTGCTTCCAAGCAGTTGGTAGAGGAAGTGTGTCCAGGTGGAAATAATTCTGCTGACTATGGTGCGGTGAATACCAGACCGTTCTGCTAGATCCCTCAGATGTAGGCCCACTGACTGGTGCATGAGGAACAGCAGCAGCTCATCTATGGGTGAAAGTTTCTGTGAAAACAAATAAGTGTTAGGCATACTGTAGATACTGTTATAGGGGAGACCGGGTACAATTGTATTTTCCTGGGGTTTGTTGTTCTGTGTGTGTGTGTGTGTGTGTGTGTGTGTGTGTGTGTGTGTGTGTGTGTGTGTGTGTGTGTGTGTGTGTGTGTGTTGTTGTTGTGTGTGATGTGTGTAGT